AAGAATGCTCCGGGCAGGAGGGAAAGGAACCGGTGTGAAGAACGTAGTGGCAGGCCTGAGCACGGGCTTGCATCCCTGAGTCACGGTGCCGAGCCATTCGGAGGCCATGCGTTCAGGGGCCGGGCGCAGGTCGCCCGCTTCCCCGGGAGATGCCGTGGTCAGATGCTTAGGAGCATCTGTGCCTGCGCTGTGTCCACGTGGCAGGCGTGGAAATGCCCGTCACGGTCCTCAGTCTGGGTTTCAGGTGTCTCTAGGGGAAAAGAATTGCCCTGTCGCCTGATCTTACACTTGTCACCATTGATTGTCCCCAAAGGTGTCAGACGCGGGGAGGGAGCCCCGGGGGGATGGGGGGTGTCTGGGGAGAGTGGAGCTCTGCCTGAGGTTGTTGAGGTGGTTCCACGTGGAGAAAACAAGGCATGTTTATGAGCATGTTGGCAGCTATTGGCTCAGGTTCAAAATGCGTGTAACACCATCTTTTTGGTATTTTAAAATTAATTTTCGATGTAAGAGGTTTTAATCACTTGTCATGTTTTTGAACCCATTGTTTCACTGTGGTGATGGTGTGTGTGTGTCTGGGGGTGGAGCCGCCATTTATCATAATTTGAGTGATTTTCCCACTCGTGGGGAGGGGACGATGCAGCTCTCCCACTCTGTCTGTGATTCAAAAGCCACGTCTGGCCGCTGCCCCTGTGAGTTGCTCCCATCACGTTCCCTGGTGCGGTGGGAACATTGCCTTGTGCCGCCTGGGGAACACGGCTCGCCGGGGAGCAGCTGTGATCACACAGGACCTGGGAGCACCACGCGCCTCGCTCCACACAGAGATCGTTGCTGTCGGGGCCTTTCTTTAACATTCTCCAAAATAGAAACCGAATCTTCGGTTTTGTTCACAAAGAATAATCAGGATTGAACGCGCTGGAGGCAGATGTGCGCCGGGCTTTGCGCTTGAAAGACCCACGTTTCCCAGCCCCGCAGCACAGAGCTGAGGAGCCGCCACGCGTCCCCGACCACGTCCCCTCCAGTCGGACATGGACGATCTCTGTTTATAACGTGGGCTTTGTGGTGCGAGGGCCCGTGCGCCGGAAATGTTTCTGGCACTCGCCAGCTCTGGCTGCAGTTCCCTTGCAGGCCTCCCTCTGGTCTCATGAGAAGCTTTTTAAATTTAGCACAGAGCGTCTCTGTGGGGGCACAGCAGGGCAGTCCTTCCCTTCCAGCCATCAGGCGCAGGCAAACCCCGGGGTCAAGGGTGGGGTCAAGGGCGGAGTGGGCTCTCTGGCGCTGCACCAGGAGCTGCACCAGGGGGTAGGGGGCCGCAGGAACCCCAAGATCCTCACACAGTCCACTGCACACGTTCAGGGACTTGGCGGGAAGAGCTGTGCGGAGCAGAAAGACCAAGGTTTTAGTCAGATTTAATAATACACTTTGTTCCTGTCCTTTCGAACCATGAGCGTGCTCATTTCTCCCTGTATTTTGCATAGAGGAACGATGCCAGTGTTTTTTTTTTTAACGTTAGACTATCTTACAAGTAACAAAGCAGTACCGTTTGCTCTTGTATCCTATTTGATTTTCAAATGTAGTAATTTTACATTTTTGTCCTTGGAAATAATTAGGGTAAAAAAAAAATACTTCCAATCTGCTTGATACTAAGTCTCCTTGTTAATAGGTATTTTTTCAAATTAGTGCTCTCAAGAGATGGCAGTAACTTTGTATTTCACTTGCAGGATGAGAAAGAAAATAAGGTGGGAGAGTGCCCTCTGTTGTACAAAATGAGAATGGAAATATTTCAGATCATAAATGCTCTGAAAAGGAATAATCTCATCAAGAGCCGATTCAGTGCATGGCTTCACTAATTGGGCAGGATGGCCCGATCAGTCCCAGTGAGCAAAGATGCGTGGGATTTTAGTGTTTTTGGTAAATCCCGTTGATTTGTGTGTGCGACATTCTAATCTCTCTCATAGCGTTAACGGAGAATATTTTACATATCTCACCTCAGATGTCTTATAAATACATCTATAGGATTAGTCATTCTACAGGCATGTCTTACTGTAAGAAAACGTAATCACTTACATCCCTTCTTTAACCTTCAAAGAAATAAGTCAGTGAGGCAGTGGTTTTCTAATCTGCATGTTAGCTGGTCTCTCCACATGCGAAGGTTGCCTTGAAAAGCCAGCTTCCCCGGAGTTTTAAAAACATGGCGAAGAGTAAGAATTCTGGGTTTTACGGAGTTGATCAAGCAGACGCTCATTTTGTAAAGTAAGGTTCATCTTTACTGATTTCACAAACGGCTTCTCTGTTAGATGCCGCCGCTCGCTGCCGCTGTCTTCACTGCTAGCGCAGACATGGTGGTTGTTCCTTATTGTGGCTGTCCCGGCACCGTTTTGGTGAAGTGTGTGGCAGTATGCCCGTTAGCGATGAAGAAGTGGAGGCTGAAGTTTTACATGACTGGCGCACAGCCGGTGTACCGCCAGTCCCAGCGTGAGCCCAGGCGGTCCGACTGGGAAGACCGGGGTCTCCGTCAGTAAAAAGGGAGTAGCAGCTCGGGCTCTCGTTTATCTCTGTTTGCATCAGAGGGGTCGATTGCTTACAATGCCTGGCTTCTCGAGGGGAAGCATGTTCGTCTTGGGCATGTTTTGATTTGACTATAGTTCCTTGAGGGACTAATAACCATTTTTCTTAAAAAAAAAAAAATGATCTCAAACACTTAGCCTGACAAGTGTTGTATAAATGACTTTCATTTTCGTGACTGCCTACTGGTTAATCATTTTTAAAAAATATGTTTTTATTGATTTTTAGAGAGAGGGGGAGGGGGAGGGGGAGAGAGAGAGAGAGAAACATCGATGTGAGAGAGAAATACTGATGGGCTGCCTCTCATATGCACCTTGACCAGGGATCCAACCCACAATCTGGGCATGAGCCCTGGCTGGGAATCAAACCGGCGACCTTTTGGAACATGGGATGACATTCCAACCGAGCCCCACTGGCCAGGGCATAATTTTTGTTAATATATTTTAAAACATCCGTTGGAATATATTTGCTGACGCGTATCTTATTAGTGCCGTGACTTTATTGATGAGAGGATCAGGCAGAGCCGATAAACATAAGCCTTGCTGTTTCTGGCCTCTGAAAATGATCAGTGTTGGTGGCTTTTGTATTTCTGTAGTTTTGAATAAACAGCGATGGAACACCATACTTTACCGAATATTAGTCCATGG